CCCCCCGCCTCCCCGCTGCTGCTGCTGCTGCTGCTGCTGCCGCTGCTGCTGCCGCCGCCGCTTACAACTTGGAGGCGGCGGCGGCGGCGGCGGAGGAGGCGGCGGCGGCCGCCGGGCGCTGCAGTGGGACGCGCGCGGCTGCGAGCCTGCGGGACATGCCCCCCGCGCCGGCTCCTTGCTGGCGGCCATGAAGAGGCAGAACGTGCGGACTCTGTCCCTCATCGTCTGCACCTTCACCTACCTGCTGGTGGGCGCCGCCGTCTTCGACGCCCTCGAGTCGGACCACGAGATGCGCGAGGAGGAAAAACTCAAAGCGGAGGAGGTCCGGATCAAGGGCAAGTACAACATCAGCAGCGAGGACTACCGGCAGCTGGAGCTGGTGATCCTGCAGTCGGAGCCGCACCGCGCTGGCGTCCAGTGGAAATTCGCCGGCTCCTTCTACTTTGCCATCACGGTCATCACCACCATAGGTAAGGGCTGGGCGCGCCGCCGCCCGGCGCCCCGCGTCCCGGGAGGAGTCCGGGGAGGCGGCTGAGCGCGCGGCGCAGGGCTGGGTGCGGGGCGCCGAGGGTTAAACGCAGCCTGTCGCCGGGGCCCCTCCCGCAGCGCCCCCTCCTCTCCGGGAGCCCCCGCCTCTCCTGCGCCTCCGCGCCGTCTCACCCCTCGCGGACCCCACCCGGTGCCCTCCTCCGCGCCGGTGTCTGGGCCGGGCGTGCGAGCCCGGAGCGAGCGTGCCGGAGCCTGGAGGGCGGAGGCGCCACTTTTGCAAAGAGAGTGGAGCGCTAAGAATAATCCCACAGCAGACACCCACCCACCCACCGCCCCGGCGCGGGCTGGGCTGCGCGGGCCTCCAAGCCTTACACTTACTACCTCTCCGGGAGTTGGAGAGGGCTGGCCTGGCACCTGCGGCGCGGAGACCGACTCAGGTGGCCGCGGACGGCTCTCGGAGCGAGGCAGGCGCTGACCCTCGCCAGCCTCCAGCCTTCTCCGAGCCCGGGTTTCAGTTCTCCTGCCTCCTTCCATGCTGGAACCTGGTCGTGCCAGGCCCCTGGGAGGAGAGGGTTTGCTCTTTGGTGATGGGGGCGGGGGCGGGGCGGGGGCGGCCTGGTGAGAGGCTCTAGGAGCGCGGTGGAGAGCCCGTGGGGGGGGGCAGGACCAGCCCACCCCCAGGCTGTGCCGGTGGGTAAGGCACGTGTGCGTATTGCCCAGAAGCCGGGGAAGTTCAGCTCCGGTCCAGGGGGAGAGTCCAGTTGGTACACCCTGGGGATTCCTGTGGGTCTGAGCCCGAAGGTGCTGCCCGTGAAGCAGCCTCTGGTGGGCACCTAGGGCAGGACCCCCACTGAGGCCAAGGGGTTCAGGCAACTTGCGTCCATCGTCACCCTTGGAGACCTGTGGGAAATAGAGCAGGTCACTTCATCCCACTGGATTTGGGGCTGCCCTCCCCACGCCGCAGGAGGCAGGGTGGTGTCTCTGTGGTGTGCACCTGGTCCCAGCGCGGCACCCGGCCTCTCACGGCCACCTCCTTGGACCTGTCAGGGCCAGTGTATTGGCTTGGGGCCACCTCTAGTTCACTCCCCTTCAGTTCTTTGTGCCCCTGTGCCCTGAGAAGGGGCCTCGTCTTCCCCACCCTTCTCTCCATCCCTCCTGCCTGACTTCTCTGGACCTCCTCCTCTGATTTTCCCCTTGATATTTTTCTTTCTCTGGAAAGCTCTGCGTGCCGAAAAAACAGGATTTCTCAGTGCCATATGCAACAGGAAGCGCCAGCACAGGACGGCTTGTCTTTCCTTCTTGGTTGAAAAGAGTTTTTAAGAGAGTCATCTTGTTTGAAATGTTTAATTCATCGGTGTAGGTTTTTATGTCTTCAGGAGGAAATTGTCCTTCTGTTGTCTGTGGACCAGCTTTACTCCTCTTACCACACGTCCTTGGCCCAGGGGCCAAAACACAGTAAAGTCCTTCCTTTCCCACCCTGTGCCTCCAGCTCCTGAAAGGGCCAGCCAGTCATAACCATCGTTTCTGTTCTTTACACTTACAGTGTGAGCTGTGGCCGTGACACACATGCACAGGGCGTCCATCCTGCGGGGCAGGGGCCTGCTTGCGGGAGAGCCAGAGAGCAGGGGATATGCCTCCAAAACTGACCACCCCTGGGGAGGGGAAGAACTCATCATTCCCTAAAGTGCCTTGAGTGAGGTAGACCCAAGTCAGATGAAATCTGCGAGCGTGCTGGCCACCAGTGGTGAAATGAGCACAGGAAACCTTCGGCCGGTCCCAAGAGTTGAACTGCAACATTGAAGAGACGGGTGGAGTTAAAATCAAACCTAGAGATGTTCCATTTACCTGATAAGGTTCTTATCGATTGCGTTTATTGATTCTGATTTTGGCAGTTCTGGGCATACGCCTCTAACGGTTAGGGCTCCAAAGAGAAAGGACCAAGGCAGGGTGGCCAGGTGGAGCGTGCGGAGGGGCAGCTGATGACCGCGCTGGCTTATTCCTCACTTCTTCTGTTGAGTTTTCAACTGATTTTCCGGAAAGAGAGGGCGGAATATATGTGTAAGGCTAGGAAGAAAAGACTGTCCTAACTCAGCTGCCCTGCGGTGGAAAGATGCTGAACCTGGAGCCCGCTGACCGGGCTTGGAACCTGAGTTCCATGAAGGGGAGGGTGGTGTGCTGACTCCCAGCCTGTTTCCCCACCTGTAGAAGGGGCGTGAGCTGTAACCTCCCGCCAGGGTGACTCTGAAGGGCCAGTGGGATCCGTCGTGCCTGCAGCCGCCTGGTCCAGTGCTGTGTGCACTTCGTAGGTGAGAATCCATGAATTTTGCCATCAGCTAAGCCTGACTCTGCCCTAGGAAGCTGTTTAGCTCTGAAGAGCTCGAACTTACGGGAAAGCAGGCACCTTGCTAGTTAATTCTGTTTGTTTTCTTCTATTTTAATATAAATGCAAATTAAGGTGCTCCTAGGCCTAGACCAAAACCCAGCCCCAAGCCAGGCCCTCCAAGGAACCGCCTCCTATCGGACAGTGATATTAATGAGTCGGGTGCATCTTCAGGGGCGTTCTTCTTTTGAATCTAACCTTGAGCGGTTTCTTGAGCGTGCATGCTTCAGCTCTGAGCTCGGGTCTCCAAGGTGGGGCAGGAACCACCCTCACTCCCTCTGCTAATGTACTCTGCTTCCCGGATGCAGTTAGTAGCGCACTCGGTGAACGGGATTTTAAGAACACATATAATTACCACTTTGCCTTGGATCTGTGGCCGCCGTTTTCGTCAGAGGCTTTGTCGGGCTCTCACACTGACCGCCGCCGGCCAGCTCTCCCGGGAGCCCAGGCACAGGCACCTTTGTCCTAAGGAGGGACGAGCACAGGTCCCACTGGCTCCAAGAAGGCAGATTCACTCCCATCGCTGCTCCAGTTCTGGGTGCCGTCCGTCCCCGCTCGCTGCTTCTGATGTCTGTGCCACTTGTAGCTGCTGCCCGGGAGATGGTATTGTTGCGTTCTAAATTTGGCGAGCCCGAGGCCTTCGGAACTCTCCATCATGTTCAAGATGAAAACTCCTCCTGCATCCCCTGCCGTGGTGCCCATCTGATTAGCAGGCGGGTTGGAAACCCTCCCACCTGCCTTCCTGAGCTGTTGGTAGGAGTGGCGGCAGTCAGGAGTCCCGGTGGCCAGGGGCTGTAGTGCGCCTGCTCCGAATTGCTCTGCTCAGGGCTAAGGCCTGGGTGGGAAGGAACCCCCAGCACACGGGGGCTCTTCCTACAGGAGGCGCTTGAGGCCAAAATTGGGTCCCGCCACCGGCGACTACTACTGACAACAGCGGGAATCTCCAGACACTTCTCTTGCGACTCTAACATCTGTGTTCTGAGTAGTTACCACCTTCAGGATCATTAAAGAGGAAACTGTGCTTAGAATTCAGATCTCATTTGGAGGATCTAAGAGGACGATTTAAAACCTGGGCCTCACAGGGGAGGGAGGGAAAGACGGGCCCTGCGCTTTGTTTTTGCTGCTGTTTGGAGGAGGAACAGACTGACGTCAGGCCCTTTGGGCCCGGCTGAAGGCGGGGTGGCTGCTCCAGGGCACCGGCTCAGGAGGTGGGTCCCTGGCAGGGGGTGGGGCACAGTCCCAGAAGGTTCTGTGCTCCTGCGGGCTCCCTGCTCAAGGTCCCCCGCCCCAGAATGCGGTGGGGCACCCCCTTTCCTCGCTCATCCGCAGGACCTTGAACAGACTTCTCACCAAGTGGAAAGCGTCTCCCATGTCCTCTTCTCGCGCTCTGGGGTGCAGGTTTCGATCCACGGTTTACACTCTCGCTGCGTGCCAGCCCCTGCCTGGCCTGTGCTGCCTCTGGGGCTCTGGGGACCGTCTAGATGACAAGATAAGGCCTGGCCTTGAGGCAGGAGGGGAGCTGGAAACCCAAACAGTTGGGTGCAGTCCAGCGTGAAGCGTGGGGACAGCTAAACTCAGTTAACCCTCCCCGAGCCACCGGCAGACAGCCCAGGGGCTGGGCTGGGGGGTCCTCGTGGGCCCTCGCCCTCCAGGACGGCGCGGCTTACCCTCTGCCCCTCACTGCCCCCGAGCTGTGCCCCCTGCCCTCCGCACTTCCCCCAGCTCCAGCGTTGTTGGTGCCGTGTATTCTGCCCCTGGAGGAACCGCGTCTCCTCCCGGCACCGGCGGGGCCCGCACAGAGCCCCGCACAGAGTGGTCACCTCCAGAAGGACCGAGGATGGAAGCACCACCTCTACGCACGCACACTCACGTCACCCCCGAGGCGGGAGGAGGTGTTGCCCCACTTTACAGCTGGGGAAACTGAGGCCCAGAGGAGGCAGCGCCCACTGCGGCCGAGGGCCTGGAACTCTGCAGTCGGGATCTCCTTACCGCAGGCTCCAAAGATGGATTCCACCCAGGAGCCAACAGGGATGGGCCTGTGGAATGTTCCATCTGTGTCTTTCTGCTTCTCCCTTTAACTTCACGCTTCAGGAAACCTGCTCAGCCAGGCCCAGGTGAAGGACCCGGCCACCTAGCACACCGTGGGCTGGACAGGAGGGCTGGGGTCTCCTTGTGACTTTCAGCATGGCAGCTGGTTGGGTGCAGGAGCACAAGGTGCCGTGTTCAGCTCCTCCCAGGCCTGCCCGGACCTGGCCTTGCTCAACGTGGCCCTGACCCTCCAGCAAGCACGGCCTATTTATAGATGTCGTGGGGGAGGCAAAGGGGTGGGTTCCTTGGCTCGGGGTGACCTGAGAGAGACGGCTCTCCCGAGGCGTATGAGACACCACGCTGAGGGCTCTGAGACGGCGGGGATCACATGAGACCCCGTGTGCAGACACCTATTGTCTTCACCTGTTCTTTCCGGACGGCCTGGACTTTCATCTGCTAAGTCCGGGGAGGTCAGAGTGGGAGGTACAGGCTTCCGTGTACATCTCTTCCCCTGTGGACCTGCGTTCGCACCTGCACCCATCCATCCCCCACACTGCCCCTCAGCCAGCCCTC